TTAAATTATAAATACATAGGCTTTCCTAGACGCAATTGTTTTAGATATTCTGACGATGATAAAGGCTGGGGTTCATTAAGACAGTTTTCAGTCGATACAGTTTTCTGCAAGCAACTCGTTCCCTACGAATGAGACTAACCCAGAGAATTTTCTTTTTTAACTATTATATCGGAGCTCGCAGCTCCGATATAATAGTTAAAAGACAAATTAGACAAATTAGACGAAATAGTAGTTACCCATCAAGCCGAAAAAAATTGGACTTACGACCGTTCTACCGACCGTACAAGGTGCTACTTTCAGCATGCGCGGCTAACTGCAATAGGGGCACTATCTTAGCCATTTTGAAATGGAAGGGCGAAGGAGAAGGTAATGCGCAGCGTAACTTGGGCACCCCATTAGTGTGCGCCGGTAGACACCGGTGGTTGACGATGAAGTGCGCATTGCCGAGTGCCGAGCTTAAGCGCAGCGTACCGCGGGCACACAGTTAGGCATCACACAAGGGCTTCACGTGGGCCAGTAGATGTGAAGCCGCGTAAGCAAATAAAATGCAACCCATGTTTTAAGTGGGAAAACAAATTGGTGAGGTTGTAGTTGAACAATAATTCTCAGTAGTTTGCAATTTCTAATCAACTCGCAAAGCAACAATACCGACAGAGCTAAAACTTTGTCAACCGAAGTAAATTGTTATAATTCAAGTTTGTGGAGAAAGGGTTTTGAGGGAAAATAGGCTGGAAAGAAGGAGACATAGTGACCAAAGAAAGCAAGACGCAAAAGGCGAAAAGCAAGTCGAGAAAAATGCGCAAGAAAGTTAGAAATGATGCTAAAATAGGCAGAATACGGCGAGAAGAACGCGAAAGAGAAGAAGGAAAGGCATAAGTAAAAAGGCAAATATTTAGTGAAGAGCAACGTGCGAAGGAAATGCAAAGGGCTCTAGAAAACAGACGTAAAAAGGTTCATCAACAAAGAGAAGCTAACTACAAAGAATCCAAGAAAAGAGGTGAGGTAAGTCGTGTTTTATATAGGTTTTTTTCTTACGCCAAGGCCCAGAAAAACTCAAACCTCTTTTTAACAATCGTCGTTTGATACTTGCTTCAGTTTGTAGTTCAGATCACGTTTCGGTAAAGCGATGACTTTGGCATTCATCGCTTTAAAACTTTCGCGCCAGTTTATCGCTTTGAATAACATTTCAAAGTGTTCGTATCCTTTAAATTATTTCTTTTCTTATCTTTGAAATGTTTAACAGTCGTGGTGTTAAAGGAAAAGAAATTATCTTAGGGAGTATGTTTTGCCTAGAAAGTTTTCAAATGAAAGCTGACGGCGTGAGCAAGTTTCTATCATTCTATCTTCCGTTGACTGTCGCAGGGTTTACTTTGCCCATTTAAAAGAATCGCGCTTTGTCGATGATGTGTTGTTTTACCCTAATTACGAAGTAGGAGCCTTTCCCAAAATTGAAGTAAAATGAGACTGAGTAAGCGATATTCATGTTTACGGTAAGTTTGAAGCGGTAATTTGATCTTAACAACATTTTCATTCGAAAACTCGTCAAACAGGTTTGAGAAAGTCACTGCCCGCTAAAACCCTCATTCGTTGCCCACTACATTGCGGGCACTATCTCAGTCATTACGGAATTGAAGGGCGAAGAAAATTATAATGCGCAGTCACCATTGCCTGAATAACTTGGATACCCCATTAGAGTGCGCCAGTAGACACCGCGAGGGCCACACGTGGGTGATAGATGTAAAGCCGCGTAAGCAAATAATTTTGCAACCCGCGTTTTGGGTGTTATAATTCAAATTCCGTGGAGAAGGGGTTTTTGAGTGAAACTAGGCTGGAAAGAAAGAAACTGAGCGACCAAAGCAAGAAGTGAAAGGCGTAAAGGCGTCTCGAGAAAAACGCGTAAGAAAGTAGTAAAAGACTCTAAAATGGGCAGAATACAGCGAGAAGAGCCCGAAAGAGAATAAGAAAAGGCACGAGTAAAAAGGAAAATATTTAGCAAAGAGCAACGTGAGAAGGAAATGCAAAGGGCTCTAGAAGACAGACTGAAAATAGGTCATCAACAAAGAGAAGCGAACTACAAAGGATCCGAGAAAGGAAGAGAAGTAAGTCTTGTCTTATCTAGTTTTCTCTAACGCAAAGGTCTAGAAAAATTCAAACCTTTTTTTTTTTTTTTTTTTTTTTTTTTTACACCAATCATCGTTTGATATCAGCTTCAGTTTATAATTCAAATCACGTTTCGGTAAAACAATGACTTTCGCATATATCGCTTTAAGCCCTAACGCCGGTTCATCGCTCGAATAACATTTCATATTGTTCGTACTCCTGAAGCTTTTTCTTGTCCAATCGTTTGGAATCTTTAATACAGACGTGGTGTTAAGGAAAAAGAAGTTATCTTACGGAGTATGTTTTGCCTAGAAAGTTTTTAAATTATACCGAACGGCGTCAGCAAGTTTCTATCATTCTCTCTTCAGTTAACTATCGCAGGGTTTTCCTTATCAAAATCGCGCTTTGTCGAAGATGTATTGTTTTACCCTAAGAAAGAAATGTGGCCTTTCCCAAAATTGAAATAAAATAAGATTGAATCAGCGATGTATATGTTTACATTAAGTCTGACGCAGTAATTTGATTTTGACAATCACTCAGCTAACTCCATTTTACCCATGAGTTTGGGATCACTCAAGGTAGCGTGGATGCATTTCTGTTGGTAGAACTATTGCAAACATTGTATTAAGTAGTGACAAAAATTAATGATTTCCTGTGGGCGAGAATGATTATTTGGGTGAAGTTATGGTGGTAATTGATCCTCTTTTTGCTGGGATGCATAGGGTTTGATGATTCTAATGTGTATCTTCTAGTTTTCAAAATTGCAATTTTGTATTATTTGTAACTGTTTACCATATGTATTTCTCTGTTCCTCAACCCCTCCAAAGTTGAAAGAGGTAAGTCTATTCTCCCCCTTCCCCTCCCCTACCCATACCCCGGACTGGTCCCTAAATCCCCTCGAAGGAACTCTTCTACAGCCAGTGCTGAAGAGTTTTATTACAGTTTCGGCTAAACCTATATTAACATTATTTATATGCGGATAACACTCCTGTTTCCACCACACTATAAATCATCGACAAGACCCCTCCACCATTCAATGTTGCCCGTTGGGAGCTAAAGGTTCATGGAATCACAAAAAGTTTTGTTTTGTTTTGCTATGTTTTTATGAGGTGGGGGGGGAAGGGAGGGGGGTTTCTGGGGCGAAGAATTTAACTTAAAATCAACATTGAAAAGATAGAGGGTTGAAAAGGCCAACGAGTCAACAATTTTCTCACCGACTGTAGTCACGGTAAAAACAAAACACCTCTCGTTTGATGCTTTAATCAGTAATCGACAACGAATTAGTGAAATCGATATTTATTAGTCAACGCACGACCTTCATCAGCAAAGTGTTTATAAATGGGATTACCACTTTGCTGTAGCAAGTGGAGTAGAAAAATTTCTTAATGAAGTGATCTTCAACTGGCATTGTTCTCTGTGGCTAATTGGGGCTTATGTTAATGACCTTGGTTGATGGGGTTGTGCCACACCTCAGACACTGGGCTAACACTCTATAGCTGGAGGGTAGTTGAGCGTCAAAACATGACTATGGGAAAAAAGGGCGCAGTAAGACAGGCACCACCCGCCTTTAAGCCGGCATCAACGTGATGCCCAACTTCAAAGCTCAACCGGAATCGGAAACCACATCAAGAGGGAACGCAATATGGAGCCAATGAACCTCAAAGACCATTTTACCATCTCAACCCTATACAGGAACTTGACTGCTTGACACATGAAAGGCCATATACCGGACATCTTAAGCAAGTAGTCAATACTCAATCAGAGCAAAACTGTTTGTTTAATTAACATGTTTTCCTAATAGTCACATATTTTGTCACTTAAAGTATTTTGCCGTCGTGTGCGCATAACTGTAGATCCTTTTATGATGCAAAAACTAGTTACACTTCTAATCGACTATGACAGTCGACAATGACGAAACCTCGTTCATTTCGTTTGATAATTTTTGTGTTGGAAATATACCCTCAATCCTTACTTATAAGATACAATTACCTAAAAGAAAGACATTTAATAATATCTACGCTTCCATGAAAAGAAAACTAAGCTAACTTCTAAAATAAGACATCTCTGCATTTAGGGAAGATCTTTTGCTTTCTTTTCCGAGTCACGCACCAAAGGATTTATCATTAATAACAAGAGGTCAATTAAGTCATTTTCCTCTTTCAAATAATCAGCCTCCATGTATTCTGTTCGCCGAGTGAGAACAGTTAGTCTTTTTTCAACTTTTAGCATTCGTTCCTCTGTACATTGGATAATAGTTTCAGAATTTAAACAGAATGGCTCTGCTTCAGAAAGGCACATGTTGGCGAATGTTGTCTCATCGCAAAACAACTTAAACTCAGTCCGATTACTTCCCTCGTGGAAAATGTCCATTAAACGCTCCTCAATAAAACGTGCCATTTCAAGCTCTTTTGCATTTTCCTCTGCGTTTGTTTTTGCGTCACCGTATGATTCGTTGAGGACAGAAACAAGCATATTCATAAGAAATATAGTTGTGGATATACAAAACAAAAAGGCAAACGTCGACCCAATGAAGGGTTTGTCCCTTCGAGGAGCGTCCATTGGCACTGCTTTTCCCAACAGGAATTCGAATTGAGACATGACTGCGTTGAGGTAACTAGAATACTCTAATACCACACCACCAAAAAATTGCATACCTGTTACAACAAATGCATTGAACACGATCAGAAAAAAGAGCACATACGAGAGTTGATAGCCTACGGATTGGCGAAAAGATGAAAACAAGTATATTACGTGTGGGTTAAAACGAATTAGATTCAGTAGCTTGACTGTCACCATAAAAACAGCCATAGCAATAGACGCATTTTCTAGGTTAAGCCAATTTAACGCTGTGTGGAAATGCACGATTTCATATGGATTGGCTTGAATAGATTTGATAGTGTTCAAAATGCTTTTAGCTCTGATCATGTAAAATGCTACAGACGCCACAGAGAAAATAATCATAAAGAAATCCACCATGTTCCAAACAGACTTGAAGAAACCTAGGCGTTGCTGATAAAGGTGAACTAACATAACTATGAAATAAAAGAGGACCATTGCCATGAACAGAAACTGGCCAATTAAGAAAAACATCAGAGCTCCTGACTCAGTGCTGTACAACTCCAGTGTTTCAATTCTCCTTGTAGTGTAGGCTGCACCAGTAGCTAAGGCCTCGTAAAAGTATGTGGCAACACTAATCAAGTTTGTATTGACATTGAAAACAGCAAACTCTAGAATTACAGCTCGAGTTTGGCGATCAAGCCATCCATTAGTAATAGTCTCGTTGAGGACGCCTTGTGCAGTGCTTTCATCGTATCCCATGACTGCTGCATAACCACCCCCTTCATAAGAGTTGTAAGACGCTAGAATGGGATCGTTGCGAAGTTCTGCTGCTGATTGATACCGCCAAGGCTTAGGGCAAATTTGGAGAGCATTGGGCCACGAAGTATTGAGGGATAGAGGTATCCAACCTGGAAGGCTTAGCAAAGTCGTGTCCTCATTTTCTGGAGAATAGTCGTAATAACAATCTGCTATCATTTTAGGGAGTGATCTGCAGGATTCTTCAAATAAAAAAAAAATTGGAATAAATTACTTTAAGATTTGCATTTTTGATAAATGATGATAAAAAGAAAGAGAGAAGGAGAAAAATGCTGGCAGAAGAAAAAAAAACACGCCAATGAAGTTTCTTGATATCGGGTTAAAAATCTGTGGTTCTAAAAATGCTTTTGAGTCAAGTTATGAGTAGCGAAATGAAATGTATCAGCAAACAAGTACATGTTCTTTTATGCCTATGCCTTATTTTCTAGAGCCTGTAGTAGTATAGTTGTATAATTTAGTATGTAAGTTACGAGCCTTTTGATTTCCAGATCACTAGACATATAGACATACTTATAGTTATTCGAATTAATTAAGTCACTATGACATTTTCCTATTTCAACAAGCATTTTGCAATTGTATATTAGGGATATTTTTCCCACCAATTTAGAATCTCCATTGTCTATTGCCACTGTAGAAATTGTATTTGTGATAACCTGTTTGTTTAAGAAAATGATATATTCTGATCTAAGTTTACTTTTTTTTAATTCTGAGCTGTCGCAACCAGGGCATTCCCACTAATACCGACATCTTGTTCCCGATATACACATCGTTTTCCTCTTCAAGTCCGTTGTACCACGCCTGATTATAAATGTTTAATATGAATTCGTTCCTTAACCATGCCTCTAATATGTGCGCATCCTTTACCTAGAATAAAGAATAAGAACTTAAGATCCAAGGACCTGTCAAGAAGATAGAATGTGTAACTCGCATGATCGCATGATTATTAAACAAACGAACAAGGAAAGGTAAAGCAATAAATCAAAAGACAGGAACAAAGCGAGAGGGGGAAAGAGACTCGCCGCCAATCTTTAATGCAAATAGCAAACAATGAATAATGAATAAATAAAAGAATTCAAACGCCTATCTCACTCAAAAGCAAACCTAAATTTGAAATCCATAGTAACATCGCTATTACCTTTTTGCAAAGGTATAAGTCATTATTTATATTCACCAGAAACCTGCATAAATTAGCCTGCTCACTTGCTATCGCTAGATGTGGTATTGCGACGGACTTTAATACCTATTTCTCTTTTAAACATCCACCAGTCTGTAATCTTTCACTGATATAAGGATCGATTGCCAGGCGAAATAGCTTTTGAATACTGTCAAATATTTTACAACTGCGGACAAAAATCATTTTTATTCATCGAGAAAAATAATCTTACCAGATTAAACTTATTGAATCGATTTCTCGTCTCGGTGGTCATCAGAAAACGATTTCCGTTCTTGTTTCCATAAGATACGATGGCCAGAAGAAACACAAATATTAAATGCAGAATAATGTCTCTTGTCATACTTGTCAACTGCGCTTCTTTTTTAGATCTCTCCCTCATCTTTTCCCGCTGATATTTCTTAAAGCGCTGTTTGGGATCATCGCAGGAAAAATCTATCTCAATTGCGTGTGGATCGGTAGCAGTCTCTTCTTCTTCTTCGCATTTGCCTTTGTTCTTTCTTGTCAGGAGAAAGGAAATAACGATGACGGCTAACATAACCTTCGTGGGCTGCACAACGAAAATATCTTGTCCATTGGAAATTAGAATAGAAGCAAGCCACTGCTCAGAGGTTTCTTTTCCCCACATTAGACTGTAAAACAGCGTAAATGTTGCTGCTGCCATTGTCGTACAGAAGCAAAGAAACCAGCCCATATAAACAAAAAAATTGGGAAGCAAACAACCGGTGTCCGTTATTTCATCCAAAAGTCGTTGGGCCTCGTCTGTTACTTGGTATTTTTCACTCCTTTTCTTCTTCCGTCTGCTAGACTTAAACAGGAAGGCAATTATTATGTTTATTGGTGCAATGATAATGCCACTTTGTACTCCGATGACTATCTGTTTCCAAGAAAACTTAAAAGGCCCAACTTGTATCGCACCATCGGATTCACCACCAATGTTATAGAACATGGCATTTGCTATCATTGCACTAAACAGAACTGAAAGGCAACATGAAGCTCTTTGCACACGTGTGAAGGTACTGCTACATGCTTTTCCAAACACTGACATCCACAAGTGACTGTCGGCAATTTTTCTGGCGAAGCGCGAACGAACCTGAGCGGAGAAGGCAGAGTAAGATTTGCTGTCCACAGTAACCTCTATTTGGCCGTCGTCTTTTTCCAACGCAAGCCATCTATTTATAGGGAAAACCCACCTTTCTTCGGTCTGACGGTCTTGGATAACTACAGTTTCTACAAACCAAGATGGATTCTCACCCGAATTATCGTGATCCAAAGTAATTTCTTTTAAAGGGCCGATGGATTCTTTCAACACGAGCACAAAGCCGTTGATACTCCCACGTCCAAAAAGCTCGCTCCTCTCCCCTTTATCCCTCAATGGAATTTGATTCTGCTCATAATTTTCGCTCTTTATACTGATGGTTATGTTAGCTGTTGTTGCTGAATGTTTCCAAACGCCGGTGCTTATAACCATATCGTAATAATAGGCTCCTTCCTTCACAAGTGGTATCAATTTAGGTGGGCAAATCTAAAAAAAAAAAGCAACAACAACATTCAGAGATCAAAATAATTCAAATTACACGTCTTGCAGGTTAAGATATGATTACCTTGTCTGCATCTCTCTTGTCGGCCCTCCTTGCAAAGATTAAGACAACGAGATACAGAAGGAAAAAACAGGCAATTGTCACAAGTACTGAAATATTGCCACTTTCAGCAAGGTTTGAAAACTCAGTAAAAACTTTGTCGAAGTCAATTGGGTTTGGTGCTTGGATGAAGTTTCCACCAAAAGATGTTAAATGATTGCAGAGACATTTGAGATGGGTGGTGTTCGAGTCTTGGCTTACCTTTAACAAAAAGAAAAGGAATCAATTTAGCGAAAGAATTGAACATTATACTGTGCTTTAGCGCATAGCACACAAGGGATTAACAGTTTTCGTGTGCGTTAATTAGCTATTTCGAATGTCAATAGCAAGTACTATTCATCTTCGAGCAGTCGATGATGCAAAAGCGCGAGTCAAGAGTTCGTTTTCCTACCATTATTTGGTATAATGAAAGAATCAGACTACTTTTTTTGTATCTGTTTGATATATATTAAAACAATTATCCACCTCGACTTTTGCAAATTTTTGTTTCAAAATTAAACTCAAGCGCGATCTTAATTAAATTGGCAAACTTTAATCCCGAGCTGAATTGGTAAATTGCTTTAGTAATGAATCCTGAGACCCGTTGGCCACAAAAGAGAAGACAAAAAAGCAAACAAGTTGATTAATAGTTTTAATGCTAAATTTATAGCTAATTCGCATCCAAATGTTAAATCTGAAATGTTCATACCAAAAAATCCCTCTTGTAGATATGTTAAGAATGAATAATCGGTTGCTATCGTCATTGAAGGGAGGCAACAGTGACAATTGCATGAGGGATTTTACTCGGTAAAGCTTACTTAGCAGCAGAAAATTTATGTAATAATTTATTTTTACCCGGCAACCTTCCGCGGTCCACTTTTCTGTGTTCTCTGACCAATATAAACAACTCGACTGAGTGATGGTCAAAGTGTAGTTAGCGTCTGTGTCTGGATCGTATTTCGGAATCACAGAGCTAAGAAATCCTTTTGGTGGTGGATCTTTAACGCCCACACACGACCGTCTTTCGCGACGATTTCCAAAACAGGATCTCCTCTGCCTGGAATGTTGACTTTCATTCTTAGGGCTTTTAAACAATAAGCCCGCGTAGAGGAAGCCTGGCTTAAAAGGGATCACTGTAACCGAGCTATCTCTGATAGAGCAAGTTGCATTAGCATCTGTTTGGTTGTTACATGTTGATGTAAACGCTATTGTAAAATTGTGGTCAAAGTCATTTATCGTCGGTCTTTTTCCAAATTTTATGAACAGACTGATTTGTAATCCTGCTTTGGCTATACCCAACTTAAGAGATACAGGAACATTGGCTAGTTCTGCGTAATAACTTCGGACTGAGATTTCATTTGGTTTAAGAAAGTTATGTTGTGTCCCGTTGGTGGAGTTTTGAGGTGGACTTGAAATGGGAATCAAGATCTCAATGTCATTGTCAAGGTTTGAAACATTTATCTTTTCCGCGCTATTGCTTTTAAGCTCAAGACTCGTGACGCGTGATTTGATTTTCTTGCTGCTATTATCCCAAGTGAAAGGGTTAAAATCAACAGCTTGCATCTGAAAGAGAACACGATTTGGTGTTAGTAATTTTACCGAAGAAGGTTAACTCCAGAAGATTTGCTAGCATACATAAAATTGGTTTAAACAGATTTTGTAATTTTATCATATTAATTAAGTAGACGTGGAGACAAGAAAGCGTAATACAAATTAAGGCAGCGATGACTCGAGTCATTCTCAAGTGAATTCGGATAAGAATGGCATTATACCTTTGCATTTATCTCTCCACCACCTATATTTCCAAGGCTGCTCGGGAGCTTGAATTTACTTGGTCCATCTCCCATGCTGAGTCCTTTTGCATCATTAGCTGTGACCTTTTTCAGCGAAATTGCCAAGTTTGGAGTTTTTAGGACCAGATCTTCTGATGGAACCAAGCGGCCAAAAAATGCATCACTCATGTTGCTCAGTTTTTCTGAGGCCTTCTTCACGAACTGAAAGGAAAGTCAAAGAATGATGTTCGGTCACCTGATGACGTAGTTAATCCGATGACTTTTCCACTTTATTAGACCTCATAAATCTTAGTTCACAATTCTTCTTCGCTGCCTTCATTGGCCTCCCCCGTTTTGTACGCTTAATGTAAACCCTATTGC